ACATGTTATATGTAGGGCTGCCTCTGACAGAAACTTCAGCTGGTGCAGAATTCAATGGCCAGGTAGCTCATTGGGGCAATATGGTCTGAGCATATCACACTGACCCTGGCCCAACTGAACTGACTGCCAATTATTTTCTGGGCCCAATTAAAAGTCCTGTTTTTTACTTATAAAGCCTTAAACAGCTCAGGACCACAATAGCTCAAGGACCGCCTCTCCCCATATGAACCCACCCAGACCCTGCAATCATCTGAAGCCCTTCTTCTTATGCCTCCTCCACAAGAGGTCCAGAGGGCAGCAACACAAGACCAGTCTTGAAATCGGCCTTTCCACTTCAAGAAATGGAGACAGCATGCTATTTTTGGCGTGTATAATATTTTTCATAAAAGTTTTTGCAACGGTCTACAAAATAGTGAGAGTGTGACTATTCATACTGCATAGTCATAGATAGCTCCAACAATGCTAACTGCTCCCTATTTTTTGCCCTACTTTCTACTACTGTACTCTAGTTTTAAATATATTTATCCATTGTCATATTAGCAGCATTCTGTGCTTAATGCTACTGCCATCCCAGCTGTTCATGGTAATCTGAATCCACACTCTGTGCTGAAGAGTATGGCTAGCATATAGGACTCTCCTGCTAATACAGTGGTGCCCCGCAAGACGAATGCCTCGCAAGACGGAAAACCCGCTAGACGAAAGGGTTTTCCGTTTTGGAGGTGCTTCGCAAAATGAATTTCCTATGGGCTTGCTTCGCAAGACGAAAATGTCTTGCGAGTTCCTGCAGGGTTTTTTCCTCCCCCCCTTTTTCCCAAGCCGCTAAGCCGCTTATCAGCTGATCTGCTAAGCCGCTTAACAGCTGATCCGCTAAGCCGCTAAGCCGCTTAACAGCTGATCGCTAAGCCGCTTATCAGCTGATCCGCTAAGCTGCTTAACAGCTGATCCGCTAAGCCGCTTATCAGCTGATCCGCTAAGCCGCTAAGCCGCTTATCAGCTGATCCGCTAAGCCCACTAAGCCGCTAATAGCGCTAATCCGCTAAGGGGCTTGCTTTGCAAGACGAAAAAACCGCAAGACGAAGAGACTCGCGGAACGGATTCTTTTCGTCTTGCGAGGCACCACTGTAGAAGCTGGACATGTTTCCGCATTGTGGAACTCAGGACCATAAAGTCCAAATAAGAATTCCAGTAGGCCTGGGAATGCCTCAATTTACCCCACATACTTGGCATGGAATTTTTAATTGCTCCATGTACAGGGAAAAGGGCAGCTGTAGCTGTTTCTCTTTTTTTGTTTCTCAGTCCTATCATCCATTGTGCTTATTTGCCCACTGGGACAAGCAGGTCTTCAAGTCTGCCATGCAAAAGTTAGTGCAGATGAGTAAAATGAGATCAGCCATGTATTTTCTGGTGATGCGTCAGAAACTTTCTGTTCTTATCTGTAGTGTCGGAGGAGGGATGACAACCCTACTGGAAGCCATCTTGTAAGTTACCTTGCATTGTGGTTAATTTGGACCAGGACAGATTAAAATAAAATAAAATTGGAACCTCTCCCCTGATCAGCTGGTGTCAGTTTAGATCTGAAGCATCATTTGATACCTAGTCTCCAGAAATGGAAAACAAAATGATGCCTTTATCCCACTGAATCCCAAGCTACCCCCCATTTCCCATGCAGAATCTCCTTTGAAACTTCTTAACTTTTATTTTCATCTAAGCAGGAGGATGAATAAATAAATCAAGACAGCTTCTCAGTGGGAGAGAAACTATTTGTTCCTCACACCAAGCACCAGCTATTTGGAATGCTGCATGAGGGACCTCTCTTTCTCCCCCCCGCCCCCCGTGGTATTTTCTCCTTGGTCAATGGCAGGAAGTATATTTGAATGCAAAGAGTGTTTTCCCTTTCCTTCCTTGAGGAGGATGACAGCAGTGTCTTTTCACTGAACACAGTATCACGTTATTGTTATGATTATTTACATTTTTATCCCACCTTCAGTCCATTTACCCCTCCTTCTACTGGATGTTAGGGAAAGAGGAATACATATGTTGTTCTGAGGCAAAATATTCCTGAAGGTGACCTGCTCTATGTGTAGACCAGGTCTTCTAGACGGATCCCCTAAACTGCACACTTTCCCTTCTACATTTGCTGGAAGGACAACGGTGACCTTTGCACCAAGAGAAGCTTCCCTTGTGAACGGAGGTGATTGCAAATCAGCTGGAGTGGAGGGGATAATCAGAGCAATTTCCAAGCCATTTGTGAAATCAGGCCACTACAAAGACTTACATCTTGAGCCAATGTTCTTAAAAACAGCAGCAGAGAAATGCAATGTTGGAAGCATCTGGGGGTAGGGGGAAAGGCTCCTTTTGAATGAATACGAAATGTCTTAAGTTTTGTGTAAGCTGCATCTGGATTGTCCTTCAGCACTCTGACCGATTTATACTGCCTTCTATGTCTTGTTTCAGTCCACACCTTTATTGTGTGCAAAGAATAAAAAAATAAAATAAATGTAATGGTCTGTGCAATGAACCATTCCCTTTGAAACCCACCCGCAATGACTTTCTCCATTTCTCATTAAATGTTGGGAATAAACCAGCCGGAGGTGGACATGTCTCCAGCAGGGATTCAATCTCTCATTCTGTTAGCGCAAAAGGCGCTTCCAAGATGCTTGTCTCCTCTCTGCCGTTTCTGCTGCTCTTCCTTTCCCATTTATTAGCTGATGCAAATCTGTGGCTTCTGTTTTTTTTTTTTTTAATTTCTCATTTCTTGAATCCCACCTATTCCTTGCAAACTTGCTTTTGAACGGGAAAACAAGAGGCCGCAAATCAGCTCTTTACACTTGAGAGATAGGGTAATAACAGGTGGCAAGACTAGAGGCAGCAGGAGCCTGGGATTCTGGTTGTCATGGAAACATGTCAGACCTGCAGAGAGATGAGCTCTGTCAGCAGTAGGGGGGGGGGTAGGGAAGGAACACGAGAGCAGCTCAGTGCCACTCACCCTATAGGTTCAGACTGTATGTCAGCCACCCCTCCGAGGGATGAAGGCTTGGAAATATGTGGAAACAGGGAAGCCAAATTCTGAACACAAGATTTGAACTGCAAAGAAGAGGGCTCAAGGGCGCAGGACACAGAAGCTCTCAGCCTAGGCCTCAAACAAAGAGCTTTTGTTTTCTCATAACTAAATGAGTTCTCCCCACTCTGCTTTTTTGACCTGAGGTGCCAGCACAAAGGACTGTAGTGGCCTATAAGGGGCAGAATAAGCAGATAACAAAAGTCTCATGCAGCCCATTGTATTATATTGTTATCCTTAATTGTTTTAAATAGCACTTTTATTTAACGTGAGTCAAGTGCTTGGCAATCTTTATTGTTATTTGCAAGCCTTACAGCACCGTCTCTTCCAGGCGCTGATGGTAGATTTCCTGATTTGGGATGTGAATTGTCTTCTAGAGCGGTGTCATAAAGCTTAATTTAGAGTAAAAAAATAACTCCAGTTTAAATCAGTGCTGGCCTCCTCCCTGTGCACACCTCCCCCTTTGGTGGAGTTACAATATTTGCATCAAGAGGTTCAGCCATTAACACAGTCTCTGATGAACTTCTGCCACCAGGCAAAGACATTTTTATTTAGACAGGCCAGGCTGACTTGCCTGTTGTAATTGGTTTTAACATGTCACCTTTAATCATTTTAAATGATAATATATCTGCCTTGCTTTCATTTTGGACTGTATATTTAATTACTATTTTATGTTTTACTAGTAGTATTTATATTATTGTTGTTTGCCATGTTGGGAGCACCTTTTGGGTGGAAAGGCGGGGTGTAAATCTTAAGACGTGAACAAATAAAACTGGTGATAGCACTAGAAAATATGGGGGGGTTGGGAAGAAGGTTCTGAAAGACAATCTCCATATTATTTATTTTTTTAAAAAATATTGATGTATACTTCTGAGCACAAGTTAAATTAAAACAGCACAAAATTATAACCGCACAAGACCTCACTGGAATATCCTAACTGGGACACTGGGCCATAAGGTTTTGGACTTTAGCCCTGAGGTCCAGCCTTAGTCACCATTGGCAACATTTCCAGCATTAATGAAGTTCCAAGTACAAACAACCCTTCCCATCTGAAAATTTATTCAGCAGGCACATGGGGCTGCAGTGGGGCTGGCAGAGATTGCCCTTCTCTCCCTTTACTTGTGAATGTGGTCTTATGAAAATTCCTTAAGTATCCTTAAAATGGCAGTTTAAGAGTTAGTAAAAGGAGATTAAACATCCAGGATTGTAAAGCTAGTTGTCTACAATGGTCTCAGGAGCACTTAGAAATGTGAAGTGTTCTCAAAATTATTGAGGTATTGCTTAGCACACTTGGATGCCCCTAAAAACTTGTTTAGCGGTGATTTGGAACACCATTGGCTTTTGCTCTCTGACTTAAAAGAAAATGGGTTGGATCCAAATGGTCAGTTGAACTTAGGTTGCGTTGACATATATTGGACAAGTTAGTCATAACCCAAGTCTCTTTGAGAACTAAGTTCAATTAATTTAAGAAGCTTCCAGACTCAGAGGTCATGGGTTAATTTGCAAGGGTTGTTGAGATACTGCAAATGGGATGTTGGCAACAGTTGGGAATTGTGTTTACTTATTGGATCCCCCCCCCTGCCCCCGAAAAGGTAAATCCAGATTACCAGGGGTCTGGGGGACACGGGATGGCATTTTGATGTCAATGATCTTGTGCGATCACTACAAAAAACCGAAAAGCAACCTTATGTGCATGAGGCACACTAATCTCACAATAAATACTCACCAGGAATTGCTTGTAGTCTGATCCAGTCAATTAAATTTTCAGCCATAGAGCATAGGAGTCATGGGGCACCCAGATACATGCACTGGGCAGTTTGAACTAGCTTTATTCCAGTTATTCTCTTTGTCAAATGTATTGTTCAAACCCGTGTAGAGAAAAGGAGTGAAAGTTGCATACTGCATGTCTCCTGGTTTAAGCAAGAATGTTTCTTACCTGCAGCCCAGAAAGGACCAGATGGGGCCATCATTTCCAATAACTACTGTGATTTCTGCCTTGGAGGATCTAACATGAATAAAAAAAGTGGACGACCAGAGGAACTTGTCTCATGTTCAGACTGTGGGCGATCTGGTAGGTGATTCCTTATTGTAACTTCCTGTGAGTGACTGACATGTGTAAATTCCTTTTTCTCATACTTAGGAATTGTGGATTTATTGTTATATTTTCTTGTACAAGTGGAGTTGGTTAGACATGTAGTTTTGGATGGGCATTTTAAAAACCGTATATACAGATGAGATTTGTTCCCATTCAACTTGGATAATTATTTCCACTGCGCTCTCCTCTGTCTCTGTTTCTGTCACTGTCTCTTACACGCACAAGCATACACACAATATTGCATAAGACTGAGGATGTTTGTCAAACATTGTTCTTTGCAGTGTAATACTACTGAAGAGGGTTTTTTTTTAAAAAAATCTGCTTTTAATCTATGTGTGTCTGTTTTAATATAAATTGTGATCCTTTTATCATTATCATCTTGAGATTTGTCCAGCTCAGTTGTTGAGTTTGGGGATTGTTTGGACATTTTCATGCTACTTGGGGGGTTGTTTTTAACAAGGAAAAAAGGAGTTTTTAACAATATTTACCAATGTTTATTCCATTTTAAACTTGTTTCTATTTTTTTTTAGGGATTTGGGGGAATATAAACCCATGGGTTAAAATCATAAGGTTCAATCCAGTTAGTTCTTATGCACATGATTATGTGCATGCAGCCCTTTTCTGCGCAGGTTTTCACACATGTAGGGTTGCTGACTGATGGTGTGTGTTGGTGAAAGGAAACTCCCATGCACATAAGAGAGGTTGGGAGGATGTGGTGGGCATCTGTATAGTGTCTACAGTAACAAAAATCCTTGGAATTTGAAATCTGTTGTATTGATTCTGCTCCTGACATTAATTACATGGTAGGATAATCTACTTTTTGTTGTCCAAATAACACAGAAACTTCTTCTAAAAACCAGTAGTCAACTTTTTATCAAAACCGGTGGGTCACAAAAACTGTCCCTACGTCTTCCAAACTCTGCTGGTGACAGCAGAATGCTATTTTGTGCTTTACAGAGAGTAAACAAAGCACAACAGATTTATGCTGCAATCCTGTACCCACTTTCTTGGGCCTTAGTGGAGAGCAAGGGGGAAAAGTAATTTTTAGCCCCCACCTGACCTGTCCCATATTTTGCCCAACCTATCCTTTATTTTACCTGACCAAAGGTGGCAACCCTAGGCCCATCCTGCATACATTTAAATGTTATATTGAATTACAAATACACACATACATCTGCTAGCTGAGGATAAGACTCCATGCTTATAATCAAGGAGGTCATTTATAGCACCAGCCCTATCATTAGGCTGAGTAAAGTGGCTGCCATAGGTAGCTGATTTTGAGTGTCATGAAATGGCAGAAAATTCTTTGTTATTTTCAGTGGTTTTTCCCCTGGAAAAACAGTATCAGTACTCCAAAGCTTCACCCTCCCCAAGGGTAACATGAGGCTGAGCCTCCATAGTACAACTGAACCAGTGCCTACTGCCAGAAAAAAAGCATTGGTTGGTTTATTTGACATTGTTGTACTTTCCTGGGACAGGAAGATGCAGCTGCAGGATTTTCTGCCTTAGGTGCCAAAATAACTTGACTGGCCTGAGGTATTGTGTACCTTGACTTGCAGTGTAGGGGGCAGTTGCTTCTCTGCCTCAGGCATCAAAATAATTTGGGCCAGCCTTGTAAAACATTAAAGCTTATGCCACAATAAATCTGTTAGCGTTTCAGATGTGTTCCTAGGTCCTGCTAGGAATATGCTTACCATTGGGGTGAGTCAGCTAAAGTTGGATCCAAGTCTTCTGGGCTGTTTTTTGTTTTTGTTTTTGTAGCCCCTAGCTATACAGTAGTGCCTCGGTTTACGAACTTCATCAGTTCCGGAAGTCTATTCTTAAACTGAGGCACGCTTTGCTTAATGAGGCCTCCCACCACCGGTGCCCTTCCACCGTTCGGATTCCGTTCTTAGACCGAGGTCCCGCAAACCGGGACACTACTTCCGGTTTTGAGGAGTTTGTAAACCGAATAGTTCGTAAACAGGGATGTTCTTAAACCGAGGTAACACTGTATTTCCAGCATCCCTAATTTTACATTATAATTTAGATATAAAGCTTTTTCATATTCATTTATTTTTCATATTTGCAAACCACCTGCTGAATGTGGCACTTAGACCTTCTAACTATAGAGTCCAGTATATTAGTATAAGCTATCATTGGGGGAAGGGGAGATGGATACTCCCGTAAATGGAATCCTTTTGCAAAGCAACTATTATTCAGTTTGAATTGTTTACCAGAGTCAGTTATCTGTTACACAGATGTCTGAGTCTGTATACAGCATGCTGGGTACAAGCACATACAGTCTGGGTGGCGCATCATTCTTAATTCTAACAAAATCCTTACTCATTTACCCATTGAAGAAACTTCCTTTATATGACAAAAGGAGACAGGTTAACTTCTTTGCCTGTATAGACACAGTAAAATCATTAAGTGTTACTATTTTACATGTATTTTCATCTTTGGGAATATGATTTGTACATCAGAACATTTTCTGATATTTGTAGATCAGAATAGTTTCTCGATATCTACTTCCTTCATCTATTTGAAGTCATGCTAATTGGAATTACTGAACAAGAAACAATGGGGGTATTGTTGTTTCACTCTCCGAAGATGGATCCAGGAATAGAGTGTATTCTGAAAATTGTGTCAAAGTTACATATTATATTAGAAACCTTTCTTTCTTTGGATGAAATGCTTTATCTGCCTTTTTATATATGTACATATATACAAAGAGAAACTTTACTAAGTTGGCAATATGTATTTACTTATTTACTAGTTCTGAAAAAGTTTTCCACTTTGTTTTACAAAAGAACTATACCACTTAGGAGAACAGGTGCAGAAAGATCAGGATGAGGGTGCTTTGGGGTTGTTGTTTTTTTTAAAGTTACGGAAAACTTTTGAAATGGATTATTACTCTCAAATAATACATTTAGGGCAGTTGATGCCAAAATGAAGGCCAGTCATGTTACTCCATGCTCTTAATGAATTCCCACTATGAGTTATTTTAAAGCTGCTCAAAATAATCACACACAAAAAAAATGTTTTCTGTATGTTTTAAAGAGAGGAAAACAATATTAACCCTTTTGCTGCCTTAGTTTATGGGCAACTGTGATGGTTGTTTTGCTTTTTACTCTTTCAAATGCAATTCAGTTTATACTTTCCTTATTGCTCCTGCTGCTGTTCTGCTGCTCTGTTATCAACCTGAACCCCACTTTAGATATATACAGACAGACAGGCACACATATATATATATTTGTATGGCTGGGAGATCTCTTTAGTTTGAACTGTTGAATAGTGATAATAAGCGATAATGATGAAATTAATGATGATGCCTGTTGCTTAACCCATGTGCTGATATATTCATCATACATGTCAGCTCATTTGGGAAGAGAAAGCAGGAAGGAAGAGGGAGCGGCGGCAGCAGCAGCAGCAGCAGCAGCACACACTACGGAGGACTTGTTCGGTTCCACATCCGAAAGCGACACCTCAACTTTTCACGGCTTTGAAGAGGATGATTCAGAAGAGCCTCTCTCAAACCAGAGCAGCAGCTCCCCGTCCACAAAGAAAAAGGGCAGCTGCTAAACTAACTAATCACACACAAACTCTATGAGCTACTTCCTGCCCTTTTTGCTACGTTTATTGTGGCTGTTGCATTCCCCCCCACCCCACCCCACCCCCGTCCCCAGTTAGACCCATTTTCACTTTTGGATGTGTACACTGAAAGCACAACAGTACAATTTTTTTTAATAGAAAACTTACCTTCTCTTTTTATTAAAAAAAAGAGTTTAGGTTATTTTATATTCATGATCATTCATGGCCCCTTCCTTTCTTTACAACCACTGAAATGTAGACGTCTTTAACAAATAAGTAGTAGAAAGCTAATTTTCTGGACTTTTAATATATATTAGCCAGATACAAAAGCTAAAAGTACAGAAGGGTTGGACACCAGGAATCCGCCTCATAGAGTGTTTATATATTTATTTATATATTCTATATATTATTAGAAAAAAGAGACCTTTTGAGATTAAAAGAGAGAGAGAGAAAAGCAATGAAGTCTACTTGATAATCTAACTATACAGAAAGAGAAACCGCTGTGGTATGGATAGTTCCAGATGGAAAAGAAACTCAATCCCTTGCCAGTGTGACTTTTGCACTGTGAAAAGTTTGCATTTACTGTAGCACACTGGATTTTGTGACTTCCCCCTTCATATTCCTGCTGTCCTCACCTTTAACAGTTTGAAAAATAAAAAGGCAAGGAAGATCAACAAAGAACATAAAACTGAGGAATTTCTTGCCTCCTTATTTTGGACACATTTGTCGTCTGTAAAGAATGCTTCATCTCTCCCCACCTTGGCATCTTTTTCTAGCCACTGCTTTGTGTTTTACGTTTCGCTCCTTTACCTTCTACGTTGTGGAAAGACATTTCCAAGCACAGGGATGGAATACAACCATCAAGTCACAGACTCTGCAAAAATGAAACAAAGGATGTGAACCTTGAAAGAAATGAAAAGGAAAAAAATACCTCACGTTTCTTTTACTTTTTGAAAAACAAAAAAACAAAAACCCATTTAGTCTTATTTTTGATAGCTCCTGTTGAAATAAACCAAAGCAATACTCACTAATCTTCAAAGGGCAGTAGAGAAGACAGAATCTCTCTCATTCCAGCACCATGGAGCTGAGCAGCAGGATTAAAAGGTATGTTCCAAAATGAAGTATGTTTCATTGTTTGTGAAATGGCTGCACTTTAAGTTTGTCCCAAACTATTCTGCATTCTTGTTTAAAGAGCACAATGCAGACATACTGGCTAAGTTTGGATGATCATATCAATTTGAAATTGCTTTAATATCCTGGCTTATTCTGGTTGGTAACCATAGTTTCCTGGTTCAGGTGACACAATAAACTATGATTTATTAGAAGCTTCTTTTCATTGCTCATGCTACAAAGGGAAGAGCAAAGGGGCTGCATGTGTAGGCAAGAGTAGTTTATATCTTGGCTAGTAAAGGTGGGATATGATCATCATAACTGGGCCAGCACTCAAGTATGGTTAGCTTAACATTGGTTAAGATCCCCAAAGTGCAGCATGGATAAGCACTATGTTTGCATAGGGACAATAGCATTGTGTTTTGTGATGCTTTTAGGTATTTATAGACATTGTGCTGGGACATCTTTAGCTCTGACCTAGACAATTGTAGAGTTCCCGAGAGAAATTCCTTTAAAAGCCTGACCTTAAGATAGATGTAAGTTTGAAAAAGTGTCATGGTTTACATATGTATGTGGGGTGTGTGTGTGTGTGTGTGTTCCATATTTTATTTTAATGATTGTTTCCTGTTATTATTCTACGAGGCCATGTTACTGCTTGCTATCCCCTTATCAGTGATACTTTGACTTAACATAGGATGTTCTTCTCTAGGGAGGGCTGGGCAATATTCCTATATGCCAACCGGTATACACCAGCCTTCCCCAACCTAGTGACTTCCTATGATATATTGCAACTCCCAACAGCCCCAGTCACCATTGTTGATGAGAATTTTAGTGCAAGACATCTAGAGGGGTCATATTACGGAAGGCAATAACAAACTAAATGGGCCAAGGGTCTGAAGGGTCTGACTCTATGCTTCTACGGGCTTTAATTGATAATAGGATTATGATCAGACCATATCTTTGTGTGTTACTCCCATATATACCAAGTTCCCAGAAACAACTACTGTATGTATATAGCATCATTGGTGCTTGAATGTTTGCAGAACATTCTAGAGTGATAAAGCAAGAACTAAAGGCGACAGCATTTAGAAGGGATTTCTGGAAGGCAAGGTTTTTGTGGGATGTAGAGGTGAAGAACTTGTAGCCTAGTATAGAGCAGTCCTAGGGAGCGCGTTTGAACTTGGGTTGTGGAAGCACCACCCTTCATTTAATAAGTACAGAAAAGAAACTCTGCTCTGTTTCCCACAATACAAAATCTCATTATTGCAAGAAACAGGGGTGCAACTTCCAGCCTCCTGACTTGATATTGTCTTGCGGAAGGCCATTCTTTTAAAATGAGATTCAGAAACCATACTAATAAGTACACAAGTAAGTGTACTTGGAAGCCCTCAAGAATTGGTGAAGTGACTCCCCCAGGTGACCTCAGTTTTTATGGCCCTGTGACCGATCAGTCCAGGCACGAGCTTCAAAGACACTCTGCCCAAACCATCCAATTTGATAGATAGCCTGTGTATCTATGTGCATACCATCCCCTCCCAATGCCTCACTTTCTCAAAACAATGTCCAGCATCAAAGGAGGCACCCAGCATTATCCTCCACAACTGATTAAGGCAGCTGTGTGTGGGGCTTCACCTCCTCCCAATGTTCTCAGGACATTAAAGACTGTTCTCACACCATCAAAAACTTAACAAGAGCGAGGGAGGGAGAAGGAACAGATGCAGGAAGGGTAACCATGTCAGGTCACTAACTCCTCAATACAGTTTGTCTTCCAGACGCATTTCTCATACAGATATCTCCCAAGGCCAATGCTGTAGCAATTATTCCTCCTCATTTTCTTTCTTTTTTGGCACTATCAGCTGTCTTCTCACAAATCATTGAGTTACGGAGAGCAGTACCTCCTGATGCACCATGGAAGTTAATGGCAGATGGGTGGTAATCTGATCCTCTCAACTTGCCAACTTGATAAAACATAGTGCCTAAAAGCACCCCATTTTAACTACTGTGACTGTAGCAAAAATAATTTTATAACTATATATAATGAGATGATCCATAGTTTCTGTGTTGGACACATATGTGGTGAGGGCAGTCTATGTGGTTTCACCCTTACTTGTTTTCCCTTTTCCCCATCTATTACTCATTGTTAGAAGTTGTTCAAATTTGCTGTTTTTCAGCCTGTGGCTGTAGTTCCATAGATACAGAAAATCATTCCTGCTAATGCCTGGAGCGGATCAGATAGCTTGTAGAAGGGACACCATCTGTGCTAAATGCCTTCTGTGCCTGCTGTCATATTTGAATCCGGCAAATTCTTTTCATCATCATCATGAGAGGCAGGGACAAAACAAAATTTGCAATCTGAAAGTTGGAATAGGCCTAGGTATGGTTCTTCGGGAATTTTGCTCATTATAGTAATATCTGCCCTCTGGATGTTCTGCTCCTAGGTGAATGAGAGGTCACAGCAAATGTGCAAATGGAGAACCCAGAATGGGAAAGAAAAACACCAGACAGTTTGGGTAGGGTCAGTTCCTTTACTGACAGGATAACGCAGCCCCTTAGCTTAGCAGTTATCTTCATCTGTAGCATAAAGTAATCCTACCTCAGTCTGTCCCAAGAGACAGGTCACAGCAAAAGTATTTTCAGCAACTTGCCCTCCTTTCAGCATTCCTACACAGATTAGGTTCTAGCCAAGCAGCAGGGACTGAGGCAAACTTGCTATAAACACAAGGACATTTGTACTTTAGATTGTGCTGAGCCACTCTCTGACTCACAAGTTTTCCGACTCACACTTAAGCAGCTGCAGGTGTAGGACAAGCACACCCAAATCAACCCTTTCTTGTCCTTTTTCTCTGTATGCATAAGCCCACATACACTAGTAGTATTCCCATAAGTGTGGTGTGCTGTAGAACCCCAAGTATCTCAGCTGTTAATAAACCTTTAAAATCTCCATGGTTGTGCAGATACGGTTGAAAACATAGACTGGGCCACAATCCAGCCCATGCTTAAGCCCATTGAAATAATTTGGTTGAAGTACACTAATTAAGTAATGGATTGTAGGTACAAATGGAACCACAATCCAATGGACTGCATAAATATATTTCCTTACCAATATACTCCCAGTCAGATTCCCACGTTCATAAACTCCCATTGTTGATATTTCCAATATATTTCTCTCCTATTACCACACCTTTTTTTCTCACTTTTTGAAAAAAAGAGAAAGAAAATATTGAGTCAATAATAAAGGATGCAAATCAGGTTCATTCAAAATAATCAGTTTTGTATATGAGCATAGAATTTGAGTTAACTTGGTGAAATGTTTGAATTTGGCTGGTGCACAGTATGAAAATCCTTTCTTACTCCTCTTGGTTTCAGAATTCAAAATTGTCCTTCAGCAAATGTTTCAACTATGAGGTGTGGGTGTGCATGTGTGCCTGTATACAGAATGGTGATGGTGGTGTCATGTACTTTTATGAGAAGTAGTCATTGTGGCTATTTTTAGCAGCTCATAGGCCGAGGTGTTGGTGTCAACGTAATCCTGTAGCAGGCGATTTAGGCCAAGGGTAAACTGCAAGTTTTTCATTTGATTCCAACATTAAACCAACACAGCTATGATTGCCATTTATGGTTTGCAGTCCTTAGGTTTGTAGTCACAGAGTTGTCCTGAACTACAGCATTGCCGTTCTTTGTTGCAGCGAAGTGTATAGTGCTGGCTTTCATCTTTGCTTCTAGAGGCAATAAAGCACAGGGCTCCTGCACTTTTTTAAAAAAATAGTTGGAAAGTCATCAGGAGGAGTTTTCACCGCAGCAGCCCTGTGGCACATCCATATATACTTCCTGAAATTCACTCTTCTGTGCAACTGTTTCAGGCATATGAGCACTTCCATTCTTGTTTGTGGACTCTGTTCAATAGGAATACACTGAATGTGCAAAGAGGGGGTGTTGGAGCAGCAGACCCCGCCCTTTGTGTTCTGCCTGTTGTATGAGGGTTGCTTTTTTAGTTTTCCCTTTCATTGCCTCTCCTTCTGCAGATAACGGTCCTGCGCTCACTTAGATTCTGAATCCATCATCCTTCAAGAAAACTGTTGGAAGAAGCCAACCAAGAATAGCCAGGATGTTCTGATCTTCCTCTCATTGCCTGATCCTTTCATGCCTGTGTCTCATCCCACACAGGAGCCTGGACTGTGGAACGCCTGCTGGCACTTGCTCAGAGAAGTCTTGGGGATTCCCTAAGCTTGTGCAATACAAAGATACCCTTTCCATTTTATTTTATTTTTTAAAAAATCCCTTTCTTTTAAGTGTTGTATGAGTTTGTGTGTGCGTATATATATATATATAAAAGCCCAGGTCAAACTGGAACTGATTTACAGTAGAAGTGACTGAAAACAACAAACAAATGAGAGAGAAAAAACCTTGACAAAAAATAGAACAAGTTATTTTATTTATTTGAATATTTAAGAGAGAAAAGTAGTGCTGATGTTGCACAGTATTTTTGTTTAAAAAGCATTTTACTTCAAAATTTAAAAGCAATTCTTGTGAAGAGGGGATTTTTCCCTAGAGCGCTTAAATGTAAGATAAAGACTGACTATTTGCTTTCAGGTTAATTTTTTTTTTAAGTTATGAAAATAAAGATAAACTCTGCTTTCTCTTACTTTAAAGATGCCATTCATACACACGCTGGGTGTTTTTTTTTTTCTTTCCCCAAACTGGATGTGGTAAGTTTAAAGTTGTTCTGGCTTATTTTCCTGAATGTCTGCTAATGTTTCCTGCTTGGTTGTATTGTATTAGAGCAAAAGTCAAAACTTTCAACAAAATATTTTGAAAATGAAATGCTGGATCTTGGACAGTTGTTGTAACAAGGACTATAAGCGCAGTCTCCCCAGCACTATCATCTTACAGGAACTTTGGGTGTTACCAGTTCTCAGCAATAATGCCACTTAAACTAGGTGCTTATAAAATAGATTTTGTTGTCTGAAAAGAAGTTGTTTTCCTGCGTTGATTAGTCCACTCAAGAGCTATCAGCAGCTAACAGCTGCTTGCTATAGTCCACAAATAATGTAAGCAACACAAGAAGAAGCAACCGGGACAATACATCTGGAGAGAAACCTTTTTCTCTACAACTGTTCTAAGAGGCATTTGAAATAATATTTGGGAAGAGGTAGAATATTAAAAACCATCTTTCCAGGAATAGCAGAGTTTATACAGTTGGATCTAGTCACAGGTCATAGTTCTCTCTATAGTAATTTGTTAGGACCAACTTGTGACATGCTGATAGCTGGTGCTTATGTGACAGCTTTTAAAGAGTGATCCCTACCTATTCTGGGAAGGACGTATGAAAATGACCCCAGGTTCCAATTGATCCAGAACAGTTTCTGGGGAAATCCAATTGGAGAAGCCATTCTGATATAAGTTTTCAGTGGATATTTGCTTACCAGATGATGTCAAAAAGTTGATTGTGTGAGCCTTCGAATTGTACTGTGCAATGTACTTCTATGCACCTTTACTTGGAAGTAACACTCGCTGAGTTAAAATGTGGCTTACTCCTTAGTAAGTGTGCACAGGAGTGCTTAGTCTGCTATACGATTTGGTTTTGAATAAAGGTAATGATACCATCCCCATACAATTTAAACCTGAAGCCTTCTCCTGAAATTCTTAGAGCAATCCTGCTCTAAGAGGACTGAGCAAACCCAGCCATCATGCATTCTCATTGAGCTGGCTCAGGAGTCCAGGGGAGTGAAACCACTTTGAAATATACAACTGTACAGCAGTGGTGCTATGAATTTTGCATGCTCAGTTGTTCTTTCAGGGATGCTGGTTGTGGGGGCAATGCAGAATCCGGTCCGGAAAAGCATCAGACATGTTCAACTCAGTAGGTCAAATCTGCTTCCTAGTGAGGAGCTGGAGCTCCAGAACATTGCATATTAAAATCAATGGCAGAACTCTTATTGGGGTCAGTGACAGAAGACCCATTGAGACAGTCACTTCAATGATTTCACTTAGAAATCTGCAAACTACCTTATGCTGCCATTAAAAACAAATGTTCCCATTAGATGCAAAATGCACAAACTGTACTAACTTGTGTTTTGTGTTCACTTAAAATCAACTTCCAAGGCGCCTCCTGTATACTTCTCTGTAAATATTTATTTACCCAACCTTTTTTAAAAGGAAAAAATATTGTGAAACTGCAATTGCTGTACATAGTTTTTAAAGGTCCTCATTGTTTACAATGCTGTCCTCCATACTGAAAATAAAACTTCCTTCTCTACTTATTTTTGTTTGCTTCCCCATGTGGTAAAATATTATTTCAGTTTTCAAAAAACAAACCAACAAACAAAAACCGAAATACAAATGTTTAACATACTTTTTTGTTTTGTTTTGTTTTCCATTGGTATTTTGACTTTGTCCATAGTCATAGTCAGCGGCTGCTGTGAAGGTAGAGAAGAGAACAGGATGTGCAAGGCTACCTGATGTTGTGTCTGACTTTTGTCCGTGTAGCTCACTCCTGCTATCTACTGTGGCAGTTTGACTGACTCCAAGGTTTCAGGCCAAGGTCTTTCTTAATGGGAGGTGCAAGGAACTGAATATGGGGTCTTCTGTAGGCAAAGCAGCTACCACTGAGATGCAAGGCAAAACTACATGTTCCATTGGGCATGTAAAGAAATGGCATGGTTAAGCTGACCAGTTTTATTTTGAAGAAATAAACCTTCAAAAGGCCGTTTAAAATCCATTCTGGGAGCTCCCAGGCCCAGATTTGGGTCCCTCACTGGATTCCCACTGAACCCCCAACTACTGTTAACTCAAAGATTCTGTCAATCACACCTTCAGGGTCAGCTGGGGAGATTCTCAGTGGGAAACTGGCTTGGAGTCCCTAAAAGCCGCTTTTCCTTCGAAATAATGCTTGCTCAATGTGACTTGTAGTCTGGCCCTTCCACGGGTGTCAGTCCCTCCCAGGGAAAGCCGCAGCAGGTTATGCAGAAACTGCAGTAGTTTCTATAATAGGGAACCAAGGGGCAAGGGGCAGAGTCCTTTGGAGAAAACTGCACGAGAGGTGCATGCTGCAGCTATTGTACATTCCCATACATTTCAGTGGGGCTTTCAGAGCAGAACCTCCAGAAGGATGGTGATGAATCATTAAAGGTTTAAAGCACAATGCTTAAGTCTTTTGCTTAGGAATGCTTAAGTCTTCATCAGTTAACTAGGACATTAGTCCTACTGAACTCAGCGGGACTTACCTCTTGAAGCAAACATGCTGAGGATCAGACTGACAGAATCAAACTACGCATTTGATTTCTTTTGTAAGGTTGATGCACAATTCAGAGAAACTTTAAAGTTGGTGTGGCAGCCTGATCAGTAGTATATGTAATGAAATGTAAAACCAAATAGAATCCCGCAGTAGTTCCTCTCTTAATGTGTGTCTGTCTGTCTGTCTGTCTATCTATCTATCTATCTATCTATCTATCTATCTATCTATCTATCATCTATCTCAGTGTTTCCCAACCTTTTTTGGGCAAAGGCACACTTGTTTCATGAAAAAAATATCGAGGCACACCACCATTACAGCCCCGTGACGTCAGCGCGCAGCGTCACGCCGGGAGGGACGCACGAAAGTGTAAGTTTCAATTTTTTCCCCTCCCCCTTGCCTTCCTTCTGTGCCAACCGCCAAAAAGCCAAGAAAAAAGCCAAGACTTTAGGGCAGCAGGTCGACACGGAAGAAGCTCCTACCTAAGGACAGGTGCGACGGCCGTGCCCTCTTCTGCCACACTTGGCAGCCCTGCCTCACGGTTGTGACTCCCACCCTGATTTCTCCCCGCAGTCTGTCCCCCGACCTCTTCTGAAGGCTGGGGGGGGGGACAAGGGCTTTTCTTCCCACCCCCAGCATTTTAAAAAACCCCGGGACAGCGGAGGACTTCTCCGCTGTCCGGGGCAATCTTAAAATGCTGGCGGGCGGCATTTTAAAATCGCCCGGGACAGCGGAGGACTTCTCCGCTGTCCGGGGCGATTTAAAAGCCCCTGGGAAGGCAGGCAGGGGGGACAAAGATTTTCGCCCCCCGCCCGCCTTCAGAAGAGGTCCTGGACCTCTTCTGAAGGTGGGCGGGGGCGAAAGTCTTTGCTCCCCACTGCCTGCCTTCCCGGGAGAGCGGAGAAAGGCAGCGCGTTTCTCCGCTGTCCCGGATGGCTTTTGAAGGTCCTTGACCTCTTCTGAAGGCGGGCGGGGGCGAAAGCCTTTGCTCCCCCCTGCCTGCCTTCCCGGGAGAGCGGAGAAAGGCAGCGCGTTTCTCCGCTGTCCCGGACGGCTTTTGAAGGCAGGCTTTTGAAAAGCCATCCGGGACAGCGGAGAAACGCAGCGCGCCCTTGCCGCTGCCCCCCGACTTGGCTGGAAGGCTGGCGGGGGGAGAAGCCTGCTCCTTCCCGTCGCCAGCCCCGCAAACTCGGGGGACAGCGGGAGAGGCGCAGCGCGCCATCCCGCTGTCCCCCGACTTGGCTGGAAGGCTGGCGGGGGGGGGGGAGAAGCCTGCTCCTCCCCGTCGCCAGCCCCGCAAACTCGGGGGACAGCGGGAGAGGCGCAGCTCGCCCTTCCCGCTGCCCCCCGACTTGGCTGGAAGGCTGGCGGGGGGAGAAGCCTGCTCCTCCCCATCGCCAGCCCCGCAAACTCGGGGGACAGCGGGAGAGGCGCAGCGCGCCATCCCGCTGTCCCCCGACTTGGCTGGAAGGCTGGCGGGGGGAGAAGCCTGCTCCTTCCCGTCGCCAGCCCTGCAAACTCGGGGGACAGCGGGAGAGGCGCAGCGCGCCATCCCGCTGTCCCCCGACTTGGCTGGAAGGCTGGCGGAGGGGAGAAGCCTGCTCCTCCCCGTCGCCAGCCCCGCAAACTCGGGGACAGCGGGAGAGGCGCAGCTCGCCCTTCCGCTGTCCCCCGACTTGGCTGGAAGGCTGGCGGGGGGAGAAGCCTGCTCCTTCCCGTCGCCAGCCCCGCAAACTCGGAGGACAGCGGGAGAGGCGCAGCGCGCCATCCCGCTGTCCCCCGACTTGGCTGGAAGGCTGGTGGGGGGAGAAGCCTGCTCCTCCCCATCGCCAGCCCCGCAAACTCGGGGGACAGCGGGAGAGGCGCAGCGCGCCATCCCGCTGTCTCCCGACATGGTTTGGAGGCTGGCGGAGGCTTCCTCCTCCCCCAGCCCCGCAAGCTCCCAGAGCGATGCCAAAGCTGCGCGCAGCTTCGGCATGGCTCTGGGTCCCGTTCTGGGGGAGGGGGAAGCTCGGGCTTCCCCCGCCCCAGCCCCACGCCTGGCGGTGGGGGAATAAATTTTTTCCCCTTTATTCCCCCCCCCGCCAATTTTTCCCGCGGCACACCAGGCAACGTCTCGCGGCACAGTAGTGTGCCGCAGAACACCGGTTGGGAAACACTGATCTATCTATCTATCTATCTATCTATCTATCTGTCTATCTATCTATCTCATGGCCATAAGTTGACCTACAGTTAATGTACACTTGATCCCCTTTCAAATTTAAATGCACAAAATTTAAGCCCATTGCTACACTACAGAGCTCCCTATGAATAGGAACTTCCATTTCTCCTCCAAAAGAGGATAACCACCATGTAAACCACTTTGCCGGCATCTCTTTAGTCTGGACTCTAAATCATGTTAAAACCAATTAGAAAGCAAAATAAAATTATTTGAATCTTTAATTGGTGTTAACGAGAGTCAGACAGCTCAGTCGGTAGAGCATGAGACTCTTCATCCCAGGGTTGTGGGTTCAAGCCTCACATCGCAGAGGGTTAGACTAGATGACCCTCATGCCCCTTCCAACTCTACAATTCTGTGATTATATGATTCTGTGTTGCGGGAAATGGCACAGAAAGTGAGCCAGGGAAAGGAAGCAACTCTTATTTTTATTTGTGGCGGAGGCTGTTATATTTTTTTAACTAGAGCAAGCGCTAAAATGTGGATTTGATTAACGACCCCACAAAAGAAAGCATCAAATTCAGTAATGCCAAGTTCTAAAAATTCCTCCTTCCCTTTCATGAAAAGCTTCTATATTTCAGGATAGAAACTCATTTAACAGCACTGTACTCAATATCTTTAGAAATACTTGACTGGACTCCAATTTAATGGCCTGCACTAGTACTGAATGACATGCAGATGAGGTCCAGCTAAAAACTGCTACAGAAACAAAGATTTATTGTAAGTACTGAAAAACGAACAACAGTTTGAAACAGCCTTTTGTAGCCATTGCTTGATGTAAGAGATGGAAAACTTTGGAAATTATTCACAGGTGTTAGTCCTTTCCGATCACCTTATCTGATAGTTCTGCCTAGCAGAGTTGAGATTTAGCTACAGAAATGTTTTTGTGTTTTGTTGTAGTGGTGATTATTATAGTTCCAGTTCATACCAGTGTTCTCATCAGTGCTTTTGGTAATACTTTAAAGTACAGTTTGGTGAAATGGTGCGGTTTTTCACTCTGTCACTGCTATGCCAGCATTAATAGGACAGATGGGGTGAACTGTACAGTGGTACCTCAGGTTACATATGCTTCAGGTTACATACGCTTCAGGTTACAGACTCCGCTAACCCAGAAATATTACCTCGGGTTAAGAACTTTGCTTCAGGATGAGAACAGAAATCGTGCTCCGGTGGCGCAGCAGCAGCAGCAGGAGGCCCCGTTAGCTAAAGTGGTACCTCAGGTTAAGAACAGTTTCAGGTTAAGAATGGACCTCCGGAACGAATTATGTACTTAACCTGAGGTACCACTGTACTTTAATCAGCACATCTTTTCAACGGTCCCTTTGTAGATGATATATCTGGTGAAATGGGTTGATTAGTCCCCGCCCCCCGAGTGTGCCATCAGAACTATGCCAAATATTTCAGGACATGTAGCCACCTGAAAACTTCTTTCCTCAATTCTAATAAGACCTGCTTATACATTATTCGTTTCTCAGTAGCAAGTTCAGTGACTAGACCTCGAAGTCTGTTATAGAGGCCAAATTCCCTACACCCCATCCTGCCATCCAGCCCATTCCCTTTAGGGAGACTTATTTGATAACTAATTTTAAAAGTCTAAATGTGCCAGCACCCTGAAATCCTTTGTTAACTAGAGTTTACAACGCAATCCTAACCCTACCCCCCCCCCCTGGTAGTGCAGCAATAAAATTGCTGGCACATTTGCAAAGCTAAGCAGGGTCCAGTATGGTTTCAGATTGGATGGAGGAGCACATGTTGAGATGCCTGAATTGCAGGGGGTGGGACTTAGGGTCCCTTCCAATTCTAATAATAAT